TCCAGGATTGTGTTCGTCAAAGTGGACCATGCTCACAATACGATGATATTCAACATGGGCATCGTGAGAACTGGGATCGTAGCAAGCTCTATGTGAACATAACTGAATGAGCCAAAGGGGCAAAAGGTACGCAGAGACGGCGAAAAGCTTGTAGAAGCACGCAACGGCGTATGTCCAGCAATATGTGCATGAAAAGCACTGTAGAACAGCTTCGGGGCATAATGATGATGATGATGATAAATAGCATTTGTATAGCGCATGTCCTCGCTCGAAAGCAAGCTCTATGCGCTGTACACTATATTATTACCCCAGCAAACCATAGAACACTCAGAAACATTCTCAACTTCCCGGGAAGCATACAGTGCAAGCAGCTGGTTAAGCGCTCAGACACTAACAAACTGACAAGACCTTTCACTGTCATAATCGCACAGTTGAAACCATGTGGTAGCGTTTACGTTCAAGTGGGGAAGAATTAAAGCTAAAACATATATCACATGGATGAAATAACAAAGTCGCTACGGCCGGGGTAGCAAAAAAGGTACGTGTTTAGTTTAGTTTTAGTAGAGGTTTTACGGCGCTCGCAACTGCATAAGGTCATATGAGCGCCAAAAGGTATGTGTGAGCACAGAACTGCGCTTGTTTAGCAATACGTGAGCACACACTGCGCTGTTGAAAAGCGAGGACGGAATCACATGGCTGGCGTAAAAAGTGTTGGCGATGGCTGGGACAGTAAAAAGCTAGGTGTGAGTGCACAGCAGTGCCTGTGGATGCACGTGACCACATACTGCACGGTAAAAAAAAATATATATATTTCGGAAGGATTAAACAACATGGCAGTATAAATGGCTAACCTCATCCTTGTAGAAAATGATCACGATAATAGGACGATATTTGACGTTGACATCGTCAGTGAATACTGTAATAGTATAAAAGGCTTTGCAGATTTCACTGAATGAGCAGAAGGGCAAAGGCATGTTGGGACAGCGAGAAGCTAGATAAGATAGGATCTCACAACATGTTTCGGCAAAAGGACTATAAGGAGGCACTGCTCTGGGGAAAAACTTGAACATGACCGCATAGTTGTAACAACATCATGGCAGTATAAATCTCAAAGTGAGGCAGCAAAATGCTCCCCAAAAAATAAGAAAAGGGGGGGGGGATGTATAGGTTTCACGCCTATTGCAACATTGTGGGGTTGCATGCAACTTAGATTTTTAGATTTAGTAGAGGTTTTACGGTCCTCGCAACTGCATGAGGTCATGTGAGCGCCAGAATATTAGAGGTGTTACACGAGAGTAACAAACATAAAACAGAAGAAGGGGGGATAAAGACGAAAGATGTTTAATAGGAAAGAAGGAGCAAACCACATCAGAACACCCGCCAACCACCCACGGTAAGAAACTGATGCAGTAACAATGACTGGGACAGCAAAAAGCTATGCGTTTTCTCCTCAGGATCATGAACACACACAGCAGCTCTGTAATAAAGCTCGGGCCGTTGGAATCTCATATGGGAGCAAAAATGTCCAAATGAGGCTGTAAAAACACTCGGGGAAAAAAAAAGGGAGAGAGAGAGAGAGAGAGAGAGAGAGAGAGAGAGAGAGAGAGAGAGGGGGGGGGGGGAGAGAGAACGTGTATAGATACGTTTAACATCCAACTCAACACTGGAAGGTTATTCTAAAGGTGGGTTCCGTGGTAAGGTAGCATAAACGGTAAGGAGAATGAAAAAAAAGAAGTTCAGTCTAAACTGTCTTAGACGGACTTCCAATGTCGAGAATACATGTAGCCGTCTCACACAGGGTCACTGTAACGTTAAAAATACACAGGGGAGGAAATAGGAAGTGGGCGTTTGTACAGGTGATTGACTTAAGTACAAGTGGCCGTTTGTACAGGCGATTACATTATACATCTGGTCGTTTGTACAGGTGATTACCTTATACAGTTGGCCGTTTGTACAGGTGATTGTCTTATACAGATGGCTGTTTGTACATGTGATTGTCTTATACAGTTGGCCGTATGTACATGTGATTGTCTTATACAGGTGGCCGTTTGTACATGTGATTGTCATATACAGGTGGCCGTTTGTACATGTGATTGTCTTATACAGGTGGCCGTTTGTACATGTGATTGTCTTAAACAGGTGGCCGTTTGTACATGTGACTGACTCATGTACAAGTGGCTGTTAGAGCAGGTTGCACAGGAAATGACACATCAGCGGGGGCAGGAAGCAGTGTGGAGTGTGTGGAGAGTGGAGTGTGTGGAGTGTGGAGTGTGTGGAGTGTGGAGTGTGTGGAGTGTGTGGAGTGTGTGGAGTGTGTGGAGTGTGTGGACAGTGTGGGGTGTGGACGTGAGACGTTTCCGTGGCGGGAAACCTCAGGCGTGCTGTGCGGGCGAGATGACATAGGGGGTAGCTGTTGTCTGCGGGGATGGTGTGTGTGAGTGTAT